AGAAAACACATTTTTACTCAAATTAATCAAAATGGATTTATAGCGTTTTGGAACCAAACTCTTCATATATATATATATATATATATATTATGAGGTGCCAAACAGGAAATAATTATATATAAATCTGAATATATAGATGTAAATCTGAATATATAAATGTAAATTGTGAATATATACTTACAAGTCTGAATATATTGTTATGTCTGAAAATATAGTTATAAGTCTGAACATATAAATGTAAATCTGAATAAATAGTTATAATTCTGAATATATAGAAGTGAATCTGAATATATAGTTATAATTCTGAACATATAAATGTAAATCTGAATAAATAGTTATAATTCTGAATATATAGAAGTGAATCTGAATATATAGTTATAAGTCTGAATATATAAATGTAAATCTGAATATATAGTTATAATTCTGAATGTATAAATGTAAATATGAATATATAGTTGTAAGCCAGAATATATAAATGTAAATTGTGAATATATAGAAGCAAATCTGAATGTATATTTATAAGTCTGAATATATAGAAGTTAATCTGAATATATAGTTATAAGTCTGAATATATAGAAGTTAATCTGAATATATATAGTTATAATTTGTAAATAAATAATTACATAAGTCTGAATATATATGTAAATCATTGATATAAATGCATATAATGAAATCTGAAAATATGTAAATCCTGAATATACTGTATAAATGCAAATATGGATATATATAGTCAAAATCTCAATATAACTATATCTTTATAATAAAGCATATCAATAGACTTTTTATTATACCTGTACGTACTGTATAGTTATCAATGTAAATATTTTTACTATATTTAATAATACTAAAAGTATTATTTTCCATATACTTTAAAAAAGGCTGGCTGTGGTGCCAAAAGGTCCTCACAGTCAGTGACAATGATAATGCCAATCTTTTCCAGTAGCCCCTCACTGCAGAACAAAGATCCAGGGGGCGGGGTTAGATCCACATCTAGGGGGTGGAGATGGGTGGGTTTAGGGATCAGGGTGTGGAGACGGGTAGGTTTATGTGTATGTAAGGTGGGAGGAGTTGGATCTGGATCCAACCTCGCCCCCTGGATCTTGTGCTCTTCAGTGAGGACCATCTCATCTTTTCTGCACAGTTCAGCATGGCTGAGAGGGCTAGGGAAATTGCCAACAACATCATATGTTTACAAATTGAGATTGGAGTGAATAATAGAGACAATTGCAGCAGCATGTGATAGACAGTAATAATTAAAATAATTAATATAGTACAATATCTGCATTGATACATGTACAGGATACATAGGCATACAATTTTCATTAAAAAAGCAAGAACATCTGCCTATTGACATGCCTAATAGTCAAGATATATTTATGTTGAAATGTAGACTATATATATATTCAGATTTGCATTTATATACTCAAGACTTATAAACATACATTGTGATTTACTATTATATAATTAGAATAATAAATATAAATTCACAATTTATATATTCAAAATGTACAACTATTTTTTTCATATTTACCTCTATTTGTTCAGACTGTAACTATATATTCAGATTTATTATTATATATTCAGACTTATATCTATATATTCAGATTTGCTTCTATATATTCAGACTTCTAACTATATATTCATATTTACATTTATATATTACTAATTATAACTATATATTGAGATTTATATTTATATATTCAGAATTATAACTATATATTCAGAATATATATATTATTGGATTTGGCATTTCTGTCACTTCTGAAATTATGGCTATGCCCCTGGTGTGACAAAATGTTAGCCTAATACTTTTAAAGCTCTTTTTTAAAATCTTGGCTTACATAAATTTCTACAAATGCCATGTCATGCCATAGCATCATTAAACTAGCATCTAACAATGGACAAAAGTGTTTTTTTCTCTCTAACCATAAAGGCTGCTGTGTAATTTGCCCCCTGAGAATTTAGGGGAAGCATTTAAATAATCCTGTGAATGCACTTAAAGAATGCAGAATCGAATTGTGAATCGAATCGATTCGCTGTCTACCCAAAGATTCACAGCCCTATAAGTTACCTTATAATAATATTCTCCATAAACAATAATGAATATTACATTTAGGGCAATATTTATACTTTTAGAGTAAAATGTTGTTAAAATTAGTATTTAAAAAAAACAACAACTGGAAATCACCTTACAATTTACAAGAGGCATGCTATTTATAGATCTCCATATGTAATCTTTATGAATAATATTATAAATGATTATAATTACATTAATAATAATTACATTTTATATTTGTATAATTTTAGACAAATAAATGTAACATTATTATATATTATTAAAATTATATATTATTAATGTTAAATAACAATATATATATAAATACAATATAAATAATGTATATATATATATATAATGAAGTAAATAGGAATTTATTGATTAATGAGAAATGCAAACTAGAGAAATCATTATATAGTTTATTGCATTAAAAGTACACAGTATCAATACAGTATGGTCAATATTTATTTATTTTAATATATTTTTAAATTTGCTTTTATAAACTGTATGTAATATAATTTTATAAGATCACTAGCAAGGGATAGACATTTTACAGGTGGTCAATATAGATTTATAATTTTTATTCTATGCCAGTATATTCATAAATGTATGGAACATAAACTTTGATAATAACTACAATACCACTGTAAGGTTATTTGATGAGTCTATTTTAAGCCTAAATGTGGCAAAACTAATATCACACCTTGTATGCTTGTGGTGGACCACTGAACTCTTGAGAGAGAGAGAGAGAGAGAGAGAGAGAGAGAGAGAGA